CACCAGAGCTTACACAAGGATTGGAGAAATGAAGTCTTGTGCCCTGGAGTATTAATGTCTTTGAAGTGTGATTCTTATTTACCCACTCAGCCTAATCTTTGTCAGGCACTGTGGTGAAAGATGCATAGAGCTTGATTTTGGGAATTAGAAGTTACACTCAGGCAGATCTACTGATGTACCTGGGTAAATGGTTCAGAGTGAAGTCTGAGTACTAAGCAATAAGGCAAGATTTCTTATGGGCTCAGAAACTGCAATATCGGGAGAAGCAGCTCTGTAGAGATTTTAGCCAAACTCAAGTACATCTTCATCAGAACATGGCCTTTCCAGATGAGCACAAAAGCCATTTGATGAGCTCCCTCTGTAGGCATGTCCAAAGCAGGTTCCAGCCACTTTAGGGTATGACCTCATCAATTCATCCACTAACACGAGTCTGCAGTCCTTGCTGAGAGCTTACCTTCCCTGGGCTCAAGAAGGATGCATGTAGCCCCAGCACTGGTGACTCACACCCGTCATCCTAGCCACTCAGGAGGCTGAGATCTGAGAATCTTGGTTTGAAGCCAGTCCAAGCAGGAAGTCCATGATACTCTTATCTCTAATTAATCAGCAAAAAGCTGGAAGTACATTTGATCGTATTATTGAAATGAACTTCAGGAAATAGAAACAAGAGGTTTTTCTTTGTTGCTGGTAAGGGAATAAAAAAGCTGAAATTGGAGGGTTAGCTCCAATGGTAAAGCCCTAGCCTTGAGCAAAACAAACAAACAAACAAAACCTCAAAGACAGGCCCTGAATTCAAGCCCAAGACCAGCACACACAAGAAGAAGGAGATATGTATGACTGTGTCCACAGCATTGACATTCCTTAAGTGTCACTCTCAGGTTGAATATCTTGGTAGCCTGGAGATGGTAGCTCTACTCTCAACCCTGTAGATGTAGAATATGGAGTCCCTTTGGTTTTGTATTAATATTTAAAGCCTGACCTTTATTTTTTGACACATTATTTGCTGAGTAGCTACTCTATGCATGGGATAAAAATCAAGATGTTAGGGACAGGGAATGTGGCTTAATGGTAGAGTGCTTGCCTAGCATGCATGAACCCCTGGGTTCAATTCCTCAGCAGCACATAAACAGAAAAAGCTGGAAGTAGTGCTGTGGCCCAAGTGGTAGAGTGGTAGCCTTGAGCAAAAGAAGCTCAGGAATACTGCCCAGACTGAGTTCAAGCCCCAGGACTGCCCCCCCCCCAAAAAATCAAGATGCTAGCTGGTCGCTGGGTGGCTCACGCCTGTACTCCTAGCTCCTCAGGAGGCTGAGATATGAAGGTCACAGTTCAAAGCCAGCCAGGGCAGGAAAGTCCATGAAACTTAATTAACCACCAGAAAATTGGAAGTAGAGCTGTGTAGTAGTAGAGCACTAGCCTTGAACAAAAAGGACTCAGGGGCAGTGCCTAGGCTTTGAGTTGGAGCCCCATGACCAACAACAACAACAAAAAAAAGGAGACACAAGGCTAGTGTAACATGAAGGAACACTTCCTTTGATCAGCTCCAGATTCATATGAAAGCCCTCTTTCCTTCTCCACCCTCCCCTTCTGCCTCAGCCCCTTCCGGACTCTGAACCCCTTGAGAGCTGGCGACAAGCCGTACTGAGCTCTGCAAGTGGGTCATCAGTGCTGCTTCCCTAGCAGGGCTTGATGGTGTTCAGGCAGACAGAAGGATCGGATGGGCAGCCGCTCACCTTGAAACCGTGCCGGCAAGGGCAGGTTCAGGCCACCTGCACAGTGCAGGACCCCTGAGTTTCACGGGCACTGTGGATCCTTAGGGTGAGAAGAGGCATTTGTAGCTCTGCATGACTATTTAGAAGCCCATGTCACTGCTGAGCTGGGAGGCAGAAATCCCAGCAAGCAGCCGGCAAACCCCACCAGGGCAGTCTCCTTGACGGGCTCATGTTTCTCGCACTTAGATTGTCTTTAGTGCCATCTGTCACCCCTCCTCCCCCCCCCGCCCCCTCCATCCACTCAGTCTCCCAAGAAAGGGAAGGTTCTGCTCAGGCTCAAGCAGAATCCACAGCAACGGCTTCCAGATCTCTTTAGATTTCATTTAAGACAAACAAAATAAGAATCATCGTTTCTTTCTTGTTTTAAAATTCAGGGGTTGCACCAGGCAGTCAATGGCCTGGGATGGTATTACCACAAATTCAAGAAAAATTATGCCAGAGCAGCAAAGTACTGGTTAAAAGCAGAAGAAATGGGGAACCCTGATGCGTCCTACAATCTGGGGGTCCTATATTTAGACGGCATTTTCCCAGGAGTTCCAGGAAGGAATCTGGTAAGTGAGCTGAGACCAACCGGAGGATGTCGTCATGCAATCATGAGAGCTTGTGGAAGGTGCCGTGTGTGCCAGCCTGAACTATATACCAGAGAGGATCGGGGAATGAGGCTGGGGTCTGCCTTCACCGAGCTCAGGATCCAATATGGGGGCAGGAGGGTAAAGAACAAAGGATGCATTTCTCCAGGTGCCGAGACATAGCGGCACCACACAAACAGATCTAGAGAGGGAAATCGGGAAAGGCTAGCACAACCAGGAGGGCTGTGTGGAGGAGGCTGAGGCGTGAGCTAGGAGAGGGCAGGCAAGTGAGGCAGGTGGGAATGAGTGGGACATGACCACCGCACCATCTCACTAGCAGTGGAGAGTGGGTGCAGCTGGGGTTGCCTAGGGTTCCCTTGTGCCACAATACTGAAGCAGAAGCGCAGGTCTTTGGTGTTGCGTGTGCCCTGCACCTCACACAACAAGCAGCTCACATCATACTATGACGATGCCCATGCACCACACAGTGACAGAGTCTATCTGTGAGCAGATAGATAACTGCATCTACACTAGGCCGAGTCTGCATTGGAATCCCAGGGGAAGGGGACCCTCTCTATCCAGAAGCAGCCGGTGAACAGCTACTCTTGCCAGGCCCTGGTCTGCACAGGGCCAGAGCAGCAGGCCAAACAGCCCTCCTCTGGGGCAGCTTCCATGCCCCTTTGGGGGACAAAGACAATCACAGATAGCTGATATGAGGGGAGGTGGGGGTTAAAGCAGCACGCTGGGCGGGAGAGGTGGAGAGATGCTATTTCACAGGGGAGATGGGGAAGTTGCCTCTCATGAGGTGAGGTGACATTGTGCAGGCTCCAGAAGGAGTCTCCTGGTCACATGGAAGAACATTCCAGTGGGAGGTGGCAGATGGGGCAAAGGCCCTGCAAAAGGAGGCAGGCTCAGTGAACTAGAAGTAGGAGCAGTCAGCGGGCTGATGGGAGATGAGGCTGAGGAAGTGGATCACTATAGAAGGAAGTTTGGAGAGAGTCATTAACATGCCAGAGGCCACATAGCTCATCCACCGAGCCAGAACCTCGAACCTAACTGCCTGCAAAGCACAACGCTTCCAAAAAGAACAGTTCATGCCGGGCGCCAGTGACTCACGCCTCTAATCCTAGCTACTTGAGAGCCTGAAGTCGAAGGATTTCGATTCATTGTTGAATTCTGTTGCCTTGTATTTTATTAAGAACTTTTGCATCTATGTTCATCAGCGTGATGGGTCTATGGTTTTCTTTCTTTATTGGGTCCCTGCCTGGGTTGGGGACAGGTGTGATACTGGCTTCATAAAATGTATTTGGTAGTGATCCTTATATCTCATGGAAGAGGAGTATTGGTGCTGGTTTTACTTTAAAGGTTTTGAAGAATTCAGCTGTGGACCTATCAGGACCTAGACTTTTCCTTGATGGAAGACTCTACTACTTCCTTGATCGCATTGCTTCTTATGGGTCAGGATCACATTTCGAAGCCAACCCAGACAGGAAAGTCCGTGAGACACTTATCTCCAATTAACCACCAAAAGACTGGAAGTAGAACTGTGGCTCAAATGGTTGAACCTCAGCTATGAGTGAAAAAGATAAGGGAGAACTCCTAGTCCTGAATTCAAACCCTAGTACAGACACACAAAAGTCCTGCGTGCACACGCGCACAGGTACATATACACACACAAAGCAGTTCACTGCTCTGTAAATGATGGAAATTCATTATTTTCATTGCCAATGTAAGTGTTCGTTTTCTGTATTTCCCTCCACCTCTCTGATTACCCACAAGGCTGATATTTTTAGGCATTGAAGATGTCTGTTAACCTCCCACACATCTGGGAGCGTGGATTTATTTTATTGTCATATTCTAATTCTCACCTGCCTACTGGAAATGCAGTTTTTGTGCATGAGTTTAGAGAGGTATTAAGCAAGGTTAAAAAGCCAATGCCTGAGTTTTCACCCAGCATAACCTGTGACGTTGTCTCGGGTCTAGCGCTCAGGGGTGGCGATAGAACAAGATGTCACTGGTGCTCTGTGATTTCAGGCTGTCTTATGTATGGAGTCAATTTAATCAGCACAGTAGCTTCTGGCCAGGTCATACGTCCCTGGCTTTGGTGATGAGCTGTCTTCCTGGAACTGTTGCTTGTCCTGGTTTTCTGACAAGTGTCAGAAGTCACAAGCCCTGGTAAATGTGGGCCTTAAAATCCTCCCTGCCCTGGCTCTGGTGGTGGAAGCTCTGGGCCTGGGTGCCACCACTGACAGCCTTGTTTGGTCTTCTCTTCACAGACCTTAGCCGGGGAATATTTCCACAAGGCTGCCCAGGGGGGACACATCGAGGGGACCCTGTGGTGTTCCCTCTACTTCATCACTGGCAACCTGGAGACCTTCCCTAGAGATCCGGAGAAAGCTGTCGTGTAAGAATGACCAATGTTGCCTGGGATGGGAAAGCCATGTCCTCTTATGCCACCTGAGAAAGGGGGGCTTCCCTCTTCCTCACTCACTCCCTCCCTCCCTCCGTCCCTCCTTCCTGCCTTCCCTCCCACCAGCCTCTTTCTTCTTCCCTCCCTCCCTTCTTTTTCCCTCCCTCCTATACTTTTCTTCCTCTTTCCCTTTCTCTTTCCTTCTTCTCCCTCCCTACTTCCTTTCCTTCCCTCCTTTCTGCCTCTCCTCCCTCCCTTCCTCCCTCCCTCCCACCCTCTATCCTCTTTCTCCCTTCCTTCCTTCTTCCCTCCCTCCCTCCTTTCTGCCTTCCTTCTCTCCCTTGCTCTCTCCTTCTATCCATCTTGCTTCTTTCCGCTCCCCTCTCCCTCCCTTCCTTGTTCCTTCCTCTGTCCTTTTCTCCTTCTCTTCCTTCCTTCACTCCCTCCTTTCTTCCTTTTCTCTCTTCTTCCTCCCTCTCTCCCTACTTTCCACCTTTCTTCCTCCCTTCCTCCCCATTGCCCTCTCTCTTCTCCTCTATCCCTTCCTTTTCCCTCCCTCTTGCCTTCTTCCTTTGCATTTTTAAAACTAGGTTTCTTCTTTTATCACTTATACATGTATTTAGTTCAGACAGCCCAATCATTGACAAGGCAATTTTTAGTCTTTTTAAATTAAAAATTAACTAAGTCATCAAGGAAAACAGGCAATCCCTGCCTTCCAGCCCTCCCACCGCACCCCACCCCCACTTTCTGCTCGTGGAATAAATCACTTCCAATCTTCTCACTGTTTGCCTTCCTGTCTCATGTTCATGCCCCTGTCTTTGGTGGTGTTGTCATAGGCCTTGTCCAGTGATGCCCTGGGAAAGCCCCTCTGTGGTTCTTTTCCTCTGCCATCTTTCCTACCAGCAACTGACGCTCCATCTTCCCAAGAAAATTACCTGGTGTCAGGGTTGACATTGTCAAGGCCACGTGACTGCCACGTGGAGCAGAGCCACGTTGCAAACGATGCGTTGCTTTCCTATCTTAGGCGATCTATTCTTTCTACGAGACAATAATCATAGTTACCATCTATTTGCTTAGCCCTCTCTTTATATATATTTTAATCTTTTTTTTCTCTACCCTTTGATATCTCCAAATTCTCCTCCACCTAAATCTCCTCTTGATGTGGCCAGAACCATTTGGTATTCTTTTTTTTGTTGTTGTTGGTTGTGGGGCTTGAACTCTGGGCCTGGGCGCTGTCCCTCAGCTCTTCAGCTCAAGGCGAGCACTTCACTGCTTGAGCCACAGCACCACTTATGTTTTCTGGTGATTTATTGGAGATAAGAGTCTCATGGAGTTTCCTGTGCAGGCTGACTTTGAACTTAGATCCTCAGATCTCAGCCTCCTGAGAAGCTAGGATTACAGTGTAAGCCATCAATGCCCGGCTACTGCTTGGTATTCTTGAACCTTTTTGGTAGAATCTCTCAGGACAGTGCTATGACCGGAGGCTGACTTGGTCACCAGTGTGCAGGTTCTCTTTTCCTCCATCTACCTGTTTTGGGGAGACTTTTTTGGCCTTCTTTGCTGGACCCCTTTCTTCCTCTTTCCTGGCTTACATCCAGGTTTTTGCCCAGCCTATCTACAATAATTTCTTGAAGAATGGCCACCAGGAGGCACATTTTTGAGGTCTTGCCTCTGAAAATGTTTTCTTGGGTTGGCAAACCTTGACCCACAGATAAAATGTGAATCAGGCCTGTTGTGGGTAGCTCCAAGTGCTAAGCATTCCTTCTTTGAAGAGAAAGAGGAGGAGGAGAAAGAACAGTAACAAGACCACTTGTGGCCACACAGAGGAAAATATTTTCCATCTTGCCCTTAACAGAAAAACCCCATTACCTAGCTGTCTTGCAGGCTACCTCCTAGCTACACCTTGGTTCTCCAAAGTGTTTGGTTTTTTTTTCCTCATGAGATGTGTAGCATCAACCCATTCTGACTTGAACATGGTAATCTAACCAACTTACCCTGGCTTGAAGGCTTTTATCAGTCATGTGGCAGAACTGGTGTGAATCTTCTTGTTTTGGAGATTTTCCTGTTGTTTGTCCTTTACTGTTGATTGGTGGCTTAGTTCTAGTATGCGCAGAGAACATATTCTGAATGGTGGCAACCTTTTGAAATTTATGGAGAACTACTCCATGATCAGAATACAGTCACTTTTGATAAATACTTTCTGGTCCATTTTGTGAACTTGATGAATTCAATGTCAGTGTATTCATCAGTTATCTCAAGTTCATTAATTATATGGCTCAGACCTACATCCTTTCCGATTTGTCTTTTGTCTATTTACTGTATTAGTTAAGAACAGAAATGTGTTAAAATTCCCCATTGTGCTTATAGATTTATTCATCTCTCTTTTCAATTCTGTCAGTTTTGCATTGTGTATCTTAAATTTATGTCATATAGTCAGACAGATTGATTTTTTTTACCTTTGAGTTGATACTTTTATCAGCTTAGAGTTTATCTCCATAGATGCTTCTCACCTTAGCCTCTGTTTTCTGATGCTCATTCAATAATACCATTTTATTGTCAGAGTATATATATATTTTCCCCCCATCTTTTTGCTTTGAATATTTTTGTTCCTTAATTTTAATGCATGTCTCTTATAAGTCACATATAACTAGGATTTTGTACATTACTTACTCAATTTGGCAATTTTTTTTTTTGGGTCCGGTCATGGGGCCTGAACTCTGGGCCTGGGCGCTGTTCCTCAACTCTTCAGCTCAAGGCTAGTGCTCTACCACCTGAACCACAGCGCCACTCCCGGCTTTTTTCTTTTTGCTTATGGGGTGCTGAGGAATCGAACCCAGGGCCTCAGGCATGCAAGGCAGGTGCTCTACCACTGAGCCACCTTCCCAGCCCCGTTGGCAATTTTAGTTTGTAGCAGTTACATTTACTCTGTCTATATTTAATGTAGTCATAAGTATATTGTTTCATCTGTTTTGTGCCTTGTCTTGCCCTTCATTTGTATTAATCAAGTTTTTTGTTATTTTTTTTTGAGGGGGGGTTCTTTTGGGTTTTTTGTTTTGTTTTGTGTTTGCAAGTACTGGGGTTGAATTCAGGGCCTTGGCTCTCCTTGGCCTTTTTCTAAACTCAAGGCTAGTGTTCTATCACTAGAACAACATCTCCACCTCCAGCTTTTTTTTTTTTCAGTTGGTCATGGGGCTTGAACTCTGGGCCTAGGTTCTGTCCCTGAACTCTTCAGCTAAAGGCTAGTGCTCTACCACAGCACCGCTTCCTGTTTTCTAGTGGTTAATTGGGGGTAAGAGTCTCATGGACTTGCCCAGGCTGGTTTTGAACCAAGATCCTGAGATCTCAGCCTCCTGAGTAGTTGGGTTACAGGCACGAGCTACCAGTGCTCGGCCACTTCCAGCTTTTTGCTGGTTACTTCAAGATTGGAGTCTCATGGACTTTCCTGCACAGGCTGGCTTTGAATTGTGTTCCTCAGGTCTCAGCTTCCTGAAGGGCTAGCCACCAGTACCCAGCTTTAGTTAAGATTTTCCTTAAGACTATTTCTCCCTTTCACTTCTTTTTTTTTTTTTTTTTTGTCGGTCGTGGGGCTTGAACTCTGGGCCTGGGCGCTGTCCCTTAGCTCTTCAGCTCAAGGCGAGCGCTCTACCACTTGAGCTACAGCTCCACTTCCGGTTTTCTGGTGGTTTATTGGAGATAGGAGTCTCATGGTTTTTCCTGCCCGGGCTGGCTTTGAACCACGATCCTCAGATCTCAGCCTCCTGAGTAGCTAGGATTATAGGCGTGAGCCACCAGCGCCCGGCTTCCCTTTCACTTCTTGATCTGTGTTCTTACACTAGTCTTTTTTTTTCTTTTTAAGTCTAAAGATTATATCACCATTTCATGAAGCCCCACATTAGGAGACAGACAAAAAACAGAAATCATATGATAAATTAGAAAATACATTTTACTTATTTTAATTTATATTTTGTGGCACCTAGGACCTCATCCCTGAAAGTCAAGTACTCTTCCACGGAGCTACACTACTAGGCTCAATAAACATAGAACTCTTGGTGGAGATTATTTTCTCCGTGGCAATAGAGACTTTTCATTATGTATGTTGCATGTCTTTGTTTCCATTGAACACCATGCTAAGCATTCGTAAGTAAGGCCGCTAAGTGCAAAGCCTTCAGAGTGCATTTGCTTTAACTTCTTCACATTCAGTTCCGCCTTGTTGCTTTGTAAAAATTCTAACAAGCAAAATATTCCCCAAATGGGATTTATCGAGATCATATGAAGAAAAAAATGATTATTTAATTTGCCACAATTTGCTTATTTTTCCGTTCCCTTTCCTTTTCAGATGGGCAAAGCACGTAGCTGAGAAAAATGGCTACTTGGGCCACGTCATTCGCAAAGGCCTCAACGCCTACCTGGAGGGATCCTGGTAAGCTCGGGTTCCATGTTAGAGCCAGCTTTCTTGCCCCTTACCTTTTGGTCTATCAGTAGAGGCTTCGGAGAGGGAATGTGTTAAAATGCAACTGAAAAAGTAATTTGCAGGGAAATCAGAGCTTCTCAGTAATGCTATTCAGAGCATCACAGACTGATTGGCTGTTGATTGGAAAACATGGCATTTCCATGTTTAATTATACACAAAAATTAGTTCTCTAGGCCGAGTGTCCACAGCCATCAAGTTGCGGCATACACACACAAATACATTGATCCTTCCGCTCCTTCCTCTTGGTTTTAGAACTGGGGACCACATGAGAGGTGAGAGCCTCTGCCTTTCCTTGAAGTCCAGGATCTTCCCTTCTTGGGAATAAGGATCAGTATGCTTAAGGCTGACTCTGGGTACCTCTTTTCATAGATGGTTTCCTGTGTCTGTCATGACCGAGAGTCTAGAAGTGACTTGCTAGAAGTCACTTGGCAGTCTCCTGTGTTAAAACCAAATGATGTCCCCTTCTTAACCTACTGTGTGTGTGTGTGTGTGTGTGTGTGTGTGTGTGTGTGTGTGTTCTGAGGCTTGAGCTCAGGGCCTGGATGTATGTCCCTGAGCTTTTTGCACAAAACTAGTGCCACAGCTCCACTTCTGGATTTTTGGTGGCTAATTGGAGATAAACTCCATATAGGCTTTCCTGCCTAGACTATCTTTGAACTAAGATCCTCAGATCTCAGCTTCCTAAGTAGCAAGTATTACAGGTGTGGACCATCAGCACCCAGCTTGACCTTCTCTTAAAACTGATGTGTCCCATATTGTCCTGTAAGAAATTTGAACTCTCTCTCTCTCTCTCCACACACACACACACACACACACACACACACACACACACACACACGACTTACCGAGTCCATATTGTGTGCAAAGTGGTTTGCACATGAGCAGTCACCTCTTCAAACACGACCTGGCTGCTTTTTCCGGTCTTGTCAGGGCTGGTGCTCCTCCTTCGTGTCCCCTCAGGGCACATTTGCTTAGCTGTTTTATTGCCCAAATGATCTGGGTATTTCCATTCTCACTAAAATGGATATGCAAATCAGCAAGTATGCCTTCAGTCCACCCCTCCAGGACATAAGAGCAGGCTGGGTGTGAATCACACCTTGATCTGAACTTTAATTAAAAATAAAAATACAGATCTGAAAGAACGTTATTGTCCCTTTTGGCTCATCACTGACACACAAATCCACAGATACCATCTTGGCAAGCAAGAATCGCACATTAGAGCATGTAGGAGAAATGAGCCCAGTGAAAAAGGCATGGAATGCAGAGAGTGTGTTGTTGAAAGTTTATTGTCTGTGGCCTTACTTTGCACAATCGGAAAGAAATTTCCTTAAATGAAACTGCTGCTTTCCAACTATAAACATACCTTTTCATTTTTGTGGGATGTCATCTTGTTTCCTGAGTGAATCTCATAAAACTCAAATCTAGAGCTGAGCGTGGTGATGCATGACTGTAATCCTACAATCTGGGAGGTTGAAGTAGGAGGACTCAAGTTCAGAGCCAGCCTAGGCTTCACTATGAGACTTGTTTCTATGAGTGTGTGTGTGAGTGCACACGTGCACGTGCCTGTACTGGGGCTTAAACTCAAGGCCTACATTCCCCTTATTTTTTTAAATATAATTTTATTGTTATTACTAAGATGCTGAAAGGTGTACAGCGCCCTTATCTATTTTTACTAGAGGCTGGTGTTTACCACTTGAGCCACAAGCTCCATTTCTTACTTTTTGCTGGTTAACTGAAGGTATGAGTCACACAGACTTTCCTACCTGTGCTGGCTTTAAATCTCAATCCTCAGATCTCAGCCGCCTGAGTAGCCAGGATTACAGGCATGAGCCACCAGTGCTTGGCTGTGTCTCTGTTTCCAACCAAACATAAATAAGCAAAACCACCTCTCAAATCCAACTTGAGCACTCTCTCTCTCTCTCTCTCTCTCTCTCTCTCTTGTGTGTGTGTGTGGTGCACTCACACATTCTCTGTTCCCCCCCAAAGCTTCTCAGGTTGAAATCAATGTTCTAATTTCAAAGCATTTCTGTGCATAGCATATCTGCACACACACACACACACACACACACACTGAAATGACACAGTTTTCCCCATAAAGAGAATGTTTGCTCATAGCTAAGCATTCTTGCCTACTTTTCAATTTAACCTCACGGTGCACGTGAGCTAACGCGTGTAAATCTATGCCACGGAAGGTTAGGTGAATTAAAATGTCTTGTTTCCTTTCTCAGAGCTCTGAGATTCAACATGGGATTCCCCTCCCTGTTTGGGGTAGCAGGGAAGGAGAAGTGTACTTTGCACTGTGTGTGTGTGTGTGTGTGTGGTTGTGTGTATTGCAGTTAGCAGATTCAAATGCAGGCATCCTGACACACACCACAGGGGACCTTTGCTGCCCCACCCCTTCCACATGCATTTTCTCACATGCCCCACGTCCAGCTGGCCTCAGGGCCCTAGCACCTGCTGTTTCCTCTACCCCAGGAATCCCACTTTACTCCTTACTCCCTCTGACCTCCCATGTGAGTCTTGGCTGCTCTGTGTCATGGCTTGTATCCTGGTACTTGGCAAAAAGTCAGAGCAACCATAACTCTGGGGCCATGATCAATGTACAAAGAACTTGTGGGATTGGAGAAGGAAAGGCTTCTGTCTGTCTGTCACCCCTGTGAGCCTTAATGGCAGAGGTGTAGGTAGTATGGCCTTGGAGGATGGATGGGATTTCCCCTTAGTCATGCAAGGAACAACATTTACTCTAAAGGGAAGTTGAGGAACAAAAGCAGAGATAAGTTTGGGGTAAGTCTGGAAGTGGGGGGTGAGGGCTTGAACTCAGGGACTATAAACACTGTTCCCTTAGCTATTATGCACAAGGCAGGCTCTCTACCTCTTGAACTGCAGCTCCATTTTGGGCCTTTGGGTGGTTAATTGGAGATAAGAGTCTCATGGACTTTCCTGGTTTCAAACCTCCATCTTCAGACTGCAGCCTCCTGAGTAGCTAGGATTACAGGTGTGAGCCCTGGCACACAGCTCTATGTCTGGAAACTTTAAAGTCATTTAATTTCTATGAGAATTAAGTATAGAAATATATGTGTGTGTGTATATATGTATGCCAACGAAATATTCTCATATGGAACTTGGAATAGCAGATTATACACTTTTTACTTTATCTTAAGTAGTCAAGCAAGGAGAAGCTGAAGTGGGACCAGTTTGAGATTTAGGTAAAGGAAGCCAGCATTTGAGCTGAAGATGTGGCTTGAACCAGTTAAGTAGCTTTTCTTTGTTTATAGCATAGTGATACACATGAAATCATATGCAATGCATTTGTAAGTTCCAAAGCATAAGAATAAAATGAATGCCTGTAAACCATCCATCCTACTTGAGAAAACTAATACTACCAGTACCAGCTACTCCTTCCCAACTTGTGTCTGTCACAGATTAAATTCCCCTCCCTAGAAATAACCATCACTGAATTTTCTGGTCCTTTTCTCATTTTCCTTATACATTCTGCAACCTATCCATATATTCCTATGCAACGGATTGACATGGGCTTATGTCTGACCTTTATATTATTAAAATCATATGTCATTCTTCCACTTCTTTTTAAACTTAGTCTATTTTTAAGATTCCTACAGTTTGATACCTGCAGCTTGCTTTCATGTATTACAATTTATTTACATGCTTATTTATGAATTTTCATGTAAACACTAACTTGCACGGTTTCCTCTTACTCTTAAGGACAATATGGTCATGAACATTTTTCTGTGTATCTCCTGGCATATGAGGAAGATTTGCTACAGAATATAAACATGGGCTGGGAATCAGTGGCTCACTCCTGTAATTCTAGCTACTCAGGAGGGTGAGATCTGAGGATCATTGTTCAAAGCCAGCCTGAGCAGGAAAGTCCATGAGACACTTATCTCCAATAAAACCACCAGAAAACCAGAAGTGGCGCTGTGGCTCAAGTGGTAGAGCGCTCGCCTTGAACTGAAGAGCTGAGAGACAGCGTCCAGGCCCAGAGTTCAAGCCCCAGGACCAACGACAACAACAGCAAAAAAGGGTATAAACTTGGGAGTAGGGCTCTGGGCCTCAGAATAGGCACCTGCTAAACCTTCAAGCCAATACCAGTTGTTTTCCAAGATTGTTTCTTTTTTCTTTTTTTTAACTAATTTAGTCTTCTTCCTACCACTTACAAATATCTGTTTCTTCATATGCCTGCTGAGGTTATTTTGTGATTTTGGTTTTTATTTTTGGTCTGGTTGTGGGCCTGAACTCCGGGCCTGCGCACTGTCCCTCAGCTCTTCAGCTCAAGGCTAGTGTTCTACCACTTGAGCCACAGTGCCACTTCCAGCTTTTTTTTTCTGCTTATGTGGTGCTGAGGAATTGAACCCAGGGCCTCATGCATGCAAGGCAAGCGCTCTACCACTAAGCCACCTTTCCGGCTTTTTTCTTTCTTTCTTTCTTTTCTTTCTTTCTTCTTTCTTTCTTTCTTTCTTTCTTTTCTTTCTTTCTTTCTTTCTTTCTTTCTTTCTTTCTTTCTTTCTTTCTTTCTTTCTTTCTTTCTTTCTTTCTTTCTTTCTTTCTTTCTTTCTGTGTCAGTACTAAGGCTTGAATTCAGGGCCTCAGGCTCTTGCTTGGCTTTTTCCTCTCAAAGATGGCACTCTATCCTTTGGGCCATATCTCCACTTCTGGCTTTTTGCTAGTGAGAAGAGTGTCAGATTGGTCTACCTGGGCTGGCTTCAAACCTCCATCCTCAGGTCTCAACCTCCTAATTAGTTAAGATTCCACCAGTCCTGGCCCCTTGCTGAGTATGACTGAAGAGAAGATTCTGTTTGGCCTGGAGAACTCTTAGTCTCCACAGAAGAAACATCTAGTACCCATACTACTGGAACCATCTTTGTCAAAATGGAGTCAAGGATGGGGGCTGGAAATGTGGCTTAGTGGTAGAGTGCTGGTCTAGCATGCATGAAGCCCTGAGTTCGATTCCTAAGTACCACATACATGGAAAAAGCTGCAAGTGGTGCTGTGGCTCAAGTGGTAGAGTGCTAGCCTTGAGCAAAAGAAGCTCTGGGACAATGCTCAGGCCCTGAGTTCAAGCCCCAGGACTGGCAAAAAAAAAAAAAAAATGGAGTCAAGGCAACTTGTTTCTTGGCTTCTTTCTCATGACCTTCTCATCTCCCCAGAGGTAAATAGGAAACAGACGTGGTTGGCTCTCTCTCACCTACGATGTGACTTCTTTATGCCATCTATTTTGTTCTAACTGAACGGAAGCATCCATCAATGTCCCCAGTTCATCCCTCTTTTTCATTTTCATGCGAGTGAATTTACTCTGGGTGTTATTTCCAAATTACATGTGTCACTTTGCTGCGCTTGGGCTTGTCTGTGTGGTTCCAAGATTTATGTGGGGTCGTTTTGAAAAAGAGTGTGATTGAAAAGAAGGCTTTCTGCTGTATTGGCATAATGGGGAGAATAAAAGCTGTCAGGCCGCAGGTGGTCCTTGGACACCAGAAGGAGTTAGCAAGGAAAGTCCAGCTGTCATGTTTCATTTCTCTCTGCCTTACCATGTATGTTTTATCTGGGAGATGCGTATTTTATTGCCCTTTGACTTAAACAAACCCCAAATACTTAACCCTGGAGGTTAGCTGTACAGGGGAAGCTTGAGCAAGACAAGGAGATATAAGTTCCTGCTGAAAGAGATTCACCTTTTTCAGTACAGAAGTGAACTCCACAGAGACCCCAGGATCTTTTCCCCCACCCATCCTATCGGAGCTGCAGCAAGCGTTGGCAGAAGAAAAAAAAAAAAAACAGAGGAAATAATATGGTTTTTCGAGAAACTGCTCAGAGGTTCTCAAATTCACAATTCATAGCAAGTAGCCAAAGAATTGATTCTTGAAATGTATTATTCTAGCCAGGTGCTGGTGGCTCATGCCTATAATCCTAGCTACTCAGGAGGCTGAGATCTGAGGATTGCAGTTCAAAGCCAGCTCAGTCAGCCAAGTCCATGAGAACTGAAAGTGGCGCTGTGGCTCAAGTGGTAGAGCGCTAGCTTTGAGCTGAAGAGATGAGGGACAGTGCCCAAGCCCAGAGTTCAAACCCCAGGACCACCACCAACAACTCTTATATCCAGCTAACCACCAGAAAACCAGAAGCGACTCTGTGGCTCAGAGTGGTAGAGCACTACCTTGAGCAAAAAAGCTCAGGGACAGTGCCCAGACCCTGAGTTTAAGCCCCATGACCCCCAACCAACCAACAAACAAATAAATAAATGTATTCTAAAAGTTCTAGGACAAGTCTGCGCCAGGTCTTGTGAGAGCGTAGCAGGCGAACCCGAACCTCTTTTCTGTGCATGTCTTTCTTATCTGTACCCATTCTTAATCTCAGTCACATGATTGTTGGGGTATAGGGGGTTCAGCTCAGGGTAATGGAAATGAAACTTGAGGCCTGAGTGTTTTCCCACTTGGAAAGAAATCATGGTAGGGCAGGAGAGTTTTGAGGTTTGTCTTTGGGTTTCTAGCCATTAGCAAGTACTGAGCAAGTGCTTGATCTGAAATATAAGTGTCAAAATCACTGCCAATAATACTGGGAATGGCTTTTTGTACATGTGTATGTGTGCCAATACTAGAGCTTGAACTCAAGGCCTGGGTGCTGTCTTAGCTTTTTTGCTTAAGGCTGGTACCCTACCACTTGAGTCACAGCTCCACTTCTGGCTGTTCACTGGTTAACTGGAGATAAGAGTCTCATGGACTTTCCTTCCTGGGCTCTGAACCTCAATCCTCAGATCTCAGCCTCCTGAATAGCTAGGATTAGAGTCATGAGCTGCCAGCACCCGGTATTGCAATGGCTTCTATGGAGATATGGATAAGTGAATGTGGAGAAGCTGCTTGGGGTGGGAGTGACATCTTTGTCAAATTTTAATAAGCTGGAAAAGCTGGTGAGGGACGTCCAACCCTCCCCACCCCCAGCCCCTGTGAGCTCACGCTTCAATGTACAGAGTGAATTGGATGATGGTGGCATTGATGCACACGGGCACCGCGTCGTGATTGATTTTGCAGATGGAAGACAGAGGCGGATTTCTGCTCAGTACTTCTGTTGACATCAGTGTTTTCAGACATCAAATTTTGATAGGTTTTGGTTCCTTTTTGATGGAAATGCTTACACATCCTAGAAAATCTCCTCATGGTTTATGTAATAATAGGGAGAGCAAGAAGTCTTCCTATAAAGCTTGTTCTTTCCACCCTCCCCTATCTCCCAGGAAACTTCACAGAGGTGAGATATTGTCTTCATAAAGTTTCTCATAGCAAGTGCTCTTACCCCATGCCCATCCCCCACATCTCAGTTGGGTTTTTTTGTTTGTTTGTTTGTTTGTTTTTCCAGTCAGTCGTAGGGCTTGAACTCTGGGCCTGGGCACTGTCCCTGAGCTCTTCAGCTCAAGGTTAGCATTCTACCACTTGAGCCACAACACCACTTCCAGTTTTCTGGTGGTTTAATTGGAAATAAGAATCTAGGAGACTGGGCTGGGAAGGTGGCTCAGTGGTTGAGTGCTTGCCTTGCATGCCTGAGGCCCTGGGTTCGATTCCTCAGCACCACATAAACAGAAAAAGCCAGAAGTGGCGCTGTGGCTCAAGCGGTAGAGCGCTCGCCTTGAGCTGAAGAGCTGAGGGACAGCGCCTAGGCCCAGAGTTCAGGTCCATGACCGGCTAAAAAAAAAAAAGAAAAAAAAATTAAAAAAAAAAAAGAATCTAGGAGACTTTCCTGCCCAGGCTGGCTTTGAACCGTGATCCTCAGATCTCAGCCTCCTGAGTAGCTAGGATTACAGACATGAGCCACCAGCACTCGGCGCGCCTCAGTTTTAATAGCTATAGCAAAATGGGTTTCTGCTGTCCAACCAAGACACAGAGTGTTATGTGAGTCATGGTCGGTCCAGCCAGTCCTGGTGGCAGGGGGTGTTGGTCTAATATTTGACCTTGACCTTCTCCTTCCCTCCTGCGTCCCTGCTGGAAACTGAGGCATTAGCATGCCCATGTGTCTCCAAACAAATGTGAGATTACACAGCCTTCACAACAAGACCTTGTTATAAAAGATGGGGCTTTCTACTGAGCCTCCCTTCCTGGCCTTTCTTCTGTCTGGGGGTGAGCTTGGGTTGTTGTTGTTGTTTGTTTGGGCTTTTTTGTGCTGGTCCTGGGGCCTGGCCTGGGTACTGTCCTTTAGCTTTTTTCGCTTAAGGGTGGTACTCTACCACTTGATCCACAGATCCACCTCCAAGTGTTTTGGTTAATTGGAGATAAGAGTCTCATGGACTTTTCTGCCTGGGCTGGCTTTGAACTGTGATCCTAAGATCTCAGCCTCCTGAATGGCTAGGAACATAGTCATGAGCCTCCAGTGAGACCTGACTTATTTGTTGTTATTGTTGCTGTGAAAAGGGGATGTACTGTTTTGTATTCTGTTTTTTAAAAAAATGTGCACAGAATGGAAAATTGTGTATTAACATATTTTTGCATATGGGGGAAGGTTTTGTGTGTGTGTGTGCGCGCCAGTCCCGGTGCTTGAACTCTGGGGCCTAGGTGCTGTCCATGAGCCATTTTGCTCAAGGCTGGGCATTCTACCACTTGAGCCACAGCACCATTTCTGGTTGTTTGGGGTGGCTAATTGGAGATAAGAGTCTCATGGACTTTCCTTCCAGGACTGGCTTCAAATTGCCAACTTCAGATCTCAGCCTACTGAGTAGCTAAGATTAGCCTACTGTAAGCCTCCAACACCCAGATTCTTTCTGTGTTTTGAATGGCCATGGTGAAAGTGGACTCCTTAAACCAGTCACTGACTTTCAGATATTCAAGTTCTTTCTGGTTTGCTTTGTTGTCATTGAACAGCTCTACTCTGGACTTCTTGGCAACTAAACCTATCTCTGTTCCTTTCCAGTCAACATTACAGGGAGAAGGATAGGGCTAAAAGGTGTGTGAATTCCTAAAACTTGCCAAATTAGTATGGCTACCTGGTGGTCCTTTAGAGCCATTGCAAGAATTGCCAATTGGCCTGCACACTAGGGCTTGGATGGAGGGGTATGTCCACTACCCCAACCCCTGTCATTACTGCACACGAGAATCCTACGTCAGTCTTTGAATGGATTGTAAAGTAGTCTCTCATTGTTCTGTAATTGCCAACGACATCCAACATTCATTCAGTCATGTGCTTTGGCCACTGCTATCAAGCGCCTGTCCTTTGCCAAACTTGTAATGCACGACAAAAGCTCTGCTTTAATTAAGCTTGTTCAGAATCCTAAGCCGTAGAAAGCTTTTCACAAAACAGAACTGTAAAGCTCAGAGCTTTTTCTTAATACCTCTTATCTCCTCTAAGCCAAGAAGGAAGAATTCAAGAGCTCAGGATTGATAAACACATCCTCAAGCCTGCGCTTGGCCTACCATTTGGCCAGTAGAGGTCACTGTTGCATTGACTAGCTCCCAGTTTAATCTGCAACTTCAGACTTAAAGATAGAAAATAAATCAGTGCAGACAGTATTTTTAACAGTTTTTATTTAAAAAAAAACACAACAAATTCAGGGCTTTGTGGTTTTATAAAAAGAAAACTGCCTATTTTCTGCACTCTTATGCTTGAATATAAAGCTCTCTGCAAATATTAGGAAGAACCCGTTTATGAAATTTATTATTAATCATCTAAATTTTTAGGCATGAAGCTTTGCTGTACTATGTGTTAGCAGCAGAAACTGGGATTGAAATATCACAGACGAATTTAGCCCACATCTGTGAGGAGAGGCCGGTAAGTACATGAATACTTTTCCAAGTAGAATCTCCAGGATCAAAGATCATGAATTGGGGGGGGGGGAATAGGGGAGGTAATTAGTCACTTGACCAAAATATTCATGAATTAACATTTTCCTCCTGGTTTACCTCGTAGGAGCTGGCTGGGAGATACTTGGGTGTGAATTGTGTCTGGAGATACTATAACTTCTCTGTGTTTCAGATCGATGCGCCTTCATTTGGTATGTATAGAAAAACAGGTGCTGAACGGAAGCCTTGGAAACTTTTCATCTTCTGTAATGGGGAACAGCTGACAGCTTTGTGTGGCGAGTGATATTGCTAAGCAATTAGGAAGAGAAGTGAAAGACCTCTGCTAAGAAGGTTAATGCTAAACTGCTCTCCGCCCCCAGGCCCACGCCCTCCTCCTTGCCCCTGGTCCTGAGGTGTAGTGGGAACCCATGACCCCATAGAATGCTATGAGGATGCAGGTTCCTGGGCTGCTTATTTTGCTATGCTGCTATCTTCCCTGTGGTGGAGGCTGGCCTTCAGGACCCGGATGTTGCTCAAGGGCTTCTGATGAATTTCAGCCAATGGGGGCCCTGGTGGGCGGGTAGCCTAGTAGGAGGCATTCCTCCCTCTGTCCACAGTTGTGCCCAGTTTCTGCCACTGACTGCCCTTCCGTGGCTCCACCCACTCCCTCCAGCCAGCTCTGCTCCCACTGACTGCCCTGCCGTGGCTCCACCCACTCCCTCCAGCCAGCTCTGCTCCCACAGGACCAGGAGGCTCTGGTGTTCCACAGCCACACTCAGACCTAGCTTCCTCCAGGCTTAGCTTTATAGCTCCCCCAAAACCTAGCAATCACTTTTCCATGATGAAACTTCTCTCTCTAGCTCCCCATGATGGATTCTGCTCTTCCAGTTGAACATTGGTACCTACCCTCTTAGCCACACATCAACTTTACAATAACAATAAAAATAAACTTTTTAAAAAAGGAAATGCATGGCGAAACCAAAGTAAAGAGCCAGGCAGGGGCTGGGAAGGTGGCTCAGTGGTAGAGCGCTTGACTTGCATGCATGAGGCCCTGGGTTCGATTCTCAGCACCACATAAGCAGAAAAATCCGGAAGTGGCGCTATGGTTCAAGTGGTAGAGCACTAGTCTTGAGCTGAAGAGCTGAGGGACAGTGCCCAGGCCCAGAGTTTAGGCCCCATGACTGGCAAAAAAAAAAAGAGAGAGAGATAGAGAGCCAGGCACCAGTGGCACATGCCTGTAATCCTAGCTACTCAGGAGGCTGAGATCTGAGTGTTTGAGGCCTGAAGCCAGCCCATGCAAACAAATCTGACATACTCTTTTGTCCATTTAACCAACAAAAAGCCAGAAATGGAGGTGTGGGTTAAGTGGTAGAACACCAGTCTTGAGCAAAAAAAAGTGAGAGCCCAAGGTCCTGAGTTCAAGTCCCGGCACACACACATACACATACACAAGGAATCAAGACAGCCAACACAGGTAGCAATACTTTAGATGTGAACTAAAGCCAACCTGGATGATAAACCACTTGGAAGACAAGCTATGTCCAGAGATGAGGGATGGTCAGGCCAAAAGCTAGACAGCAGGGCAACATAAAGATCGTTCTGAATTCACAGTATGTAGCGAGCACACCCCATTGGGTCTAGAATAGAACTGCTTGACCAATGAGTGCATTGTCTTGTGTTCTGCAGCATATTTGAAAATGGGAGACCTCTACTATTATGGCCACCCAAACCAGACCCAAGACTTGGAGCTGTCTGTGCAGATGTACGCCCAAGCAGCCCTGGACGGAGACTCCCAGGTGAGCATCCACAGCTCCCGCTCTGAAGCGAGGGCTGAGCATCTCTCTGGGTCCTTAGGCTGCAAGGCTTGCTGACAACTACGCAGAGTGCAGCAGCTCCTAGAGAACACCAACTATCATGGTGGCCTTGGTTGAGCCCCTACTCTGTGGCTTTCTCTCCTTACAATCTCTAGGGGCATTTCCGTCATCCCCTTTCTAATCTGAGAGGCCAAGTAATGGGTTTCTTAAGGCTAAATTACTCAGGGGAAGCAAAGATACCAGAGCATAGTACCGGGTATGTGTAGCTCTAAGCCTGAGGATGCTTCTACCAGATTCCATGGAACTAATTCACCTGGTGGTAACTGACGCTCTAGGGATGTCACCACGGTGGGTGTGGTTTATGTATGGTTAGACCATGCTTCTGTAATAAGACTTCTCAGTGACTGGGTTTTTTTAAAACTTATTTTATGTGTTTATTTAATTTTGTTGGGCTTGGGGCTTGAATACAAGGCCTGGGTACTGTCCCTGAACTCTTTGGCTCAAGGCTAGCACTCTACCACTTGGAGCTACAGCGCCATTTCCACTTCTCTGGTGGTTCATTAGAAGTAAGAGTCACACAGACTTTCCTGCCCGGGCTGGCTTTGAACCACAATCCTCAGATCTCAGTCTCCTCAGTAGCTAGGATGACAGGCATGAGCCACCGTCACTCAGCTTGAAACTTCTTTCAAAATAATGTTCAATTTATTGAAAAGCACAAAAAGAATCTAGAGAGTTCCTGTGTGCTCTTTACTTACTTCCTCTGTGTGTGTGGTGTGTGTGTGTGTGTTGGTCCTGGGGCTTGAACTTAGGGACTACACATTGTCCCTAGGCTTCTTTTACACAAAGCTAGTACTCTACCACATTGAGCTGCACCACTTCCATTTTTTTTTCTCAATAGCTTATTGGAGATAAAAGTCTCATGGGCTTTTCTGCCTGGGCTGTCTTTCAACCACAATCTTCAGTTCTCAGCCTTCTGAGTAGCTAGGATTACAGGGATGAGCCACTGGTACCCAGCTACTTCCTTCCTTTAATATGAATGAAGCCATGCCAGTGAAACCATTCACTAGGGGAGAGTGACATTATTTATACTTCAGACTTTGGGTTTCATCTGCCTTTTTACTAACATTCCCTTTCTGTCCCATAACCAATGCAGGATTCTATGACATCTCATTGGTAGGTGGGAAGTATTTGTGACTGTTTTGCTCAAAGCTGGCATCTACCACTTGAGCCACAGCTCTACTGGCTTTTTGCTGGTTAATTGGAGATAAAACTTCTGGCTTTTTGCTGGTTGGAGATAGAAGTCTCATGGACTTTTCTGCTTGGGGTTAGCTTTGAACCATTGTCCTCAGATCTCAGCCTCCTGAGTAGCTAGGATTGGAAGTGCGAGCCACCAGTGCCTGGTGCCATCCTTCTTCTTTGGCCTGTGACAGTCCTTCAGTCTCAGTAATGGCCTGCATACTTGGTTGAGTGTTTTGTAGAAGGTCTCTTGATTTTGGTCCGTCTTCTGTTTTCTCATGAATAACTTGAGATTGAAGATTTGGGCAAGCAAGAATACTGCAGGGGAATATGTTTGTGTTGGGTCATATTAGGGGTATATGGGACCAGCAAGGTGCATTTCAGCACCTGGTTAAGTGGTTTCTGTTGCATCTCTCCTCTGTACAGTTTCTATTTTTCTTTGCTAATTTGTAAATATCTTGAGGGGATAGTTTGAGACTATGCAAAGATCCTGCTTGGCCTCAAAAGTTTGCCCCTGAGATTTTAGTGTATTGCACCCCAGCAATAATTATTAGCCTGGTATTGTAATGATAATTTTTCTATTTCCCTCATTCCCTCTCCAGTTGCTAATTGGAATTCTCCTGTGAGGATCTCAGGGTCATTTCCACAAAGGACGCTGGGATAGCCATGGCCTGTTTATGCAAGTTATGGTGGTGTGCTTTGTACTCTGATCACAGAGCAGAAGTTGGAAACTTGTCCCAGCCTTCCTCTGTGTTTCTTGGATTCCTCCCCTCTCCTCCTACTCCTCTACTTCCTTTCTCCCCTCTTCTTTCCATTTCTCTTCTTCTGCCTTTCTTTTTATGGAAGTATTGAATTTCTTTATTCCCTCCCTCTATTCTTCCATTTTTTCCTTCTCCTCTTATAACTGCTTGCACACAGTGAGTCCTCAAGTCTCTGTTTTGTCATCTGTCCATTGGAGTAATAACAGTAATAACACCTCATCAGATGTGAGGGTTAAGTAAAATGTTTGGAGCAAGTCTCTGGGCCCCGCGCTATGTACATTCAATAAACACCAGTGATTCTATTATTATAACCACTGGAATGCAACAGCAGTTACTGCACAAGGGATTTGAGGTACAAACTCCCTCAGAAGATAACCATTGTTACTTAAAAGAGGCCTGGATAATTTGGGTTTCAGTTTGGTTATTTTTTAGAAAGATAATACTCCATAAACAACAAAGATAATGTTAAAAGAAAAGTAGCAAAGAATGTCTGCAGTTCCTTCTGACTTCGTGTTACCTTCCAGGCCAGGCCTACCAGCACATGGGTCTGCCGTGTTATCTGTGGTGTGACTGCCACTTTAAATCTGCCTTATCAATAATCACAACACTGTGTAATTAATGATATAGTGTCTTTACTACTCATTGGCTGGCTGCCCTAGATTCCATTGAGCAAATGGATCATAATGCTTTTTTCCCCCACTTTTTGGGATGGGTCCTAGGGCTTGAACTCAGGGGCTGGGTATTTTCTCTGAGCTTTTATGCTCAAGGCTACTGCTCTACCATTTGTGCCACAGCTCCACTTCAGGCTTTTTATTGGTGAATTGGCAATAAAGAGTCTCAACGACTTTCCAGACTTTGCAGGCTGGCTTCTAACTGTGATCCTCAGATCTCAGCCTTCTGAGTAGCTAGGATACAGGCATGAGCCACCTGTGCCCAGCCCGTACATTTTTATGTATGGAAAGGAGACACTTGACATAAGATCATCAGGCATGAGTAGTACCCCAGCCCCCAAACATTTTGTCAGATTTCTGACAGGTTGATGGTGACCAACGGCCTAGTGTCTTGGTTTTGTGGCTGGTCCATTGGCATGTTTTCCAACGAGTTTTGTTTCCCGAGCTTGGATGGAAAAGGCCAGATCTCTCGGTTGACTGGCTGCTGAGCAGATGGGACGCAGCATCCTTTGTAAACCTCCTGGTTCTCCTGCAAATAAATTTCTCAGATGCATATATTTAGGGAAACAATTCATCAATGAAATGACAAAGCCATCTGGCTCCAAGGACTGCAGAAAAAAATATTTTTAGGGGGTTATAAAAGTTTATATTCTAGTGAAGGACATGTATGCGTGTCTGGGTTATTTATATGTATTCTGAAGACTTGGTAAGTTTGGTTTATGGCTTGTTTTCAGGGATTTTTTAACCTGGCCCTGCTAATCGAGGAAGGTGCTATAATCCCACACCACATTTTGGATTTCTTGGAAATTGACCCAACACTCCATTCTAATAATGTCTCCATTCTCCGAGAGCTGTACGAAAGGTCAGTCCTCTGCTTCTCCTCTAACACCAGGAACTCCAGCAGACCCCCAGTGGGTGGGGCTTGCTCTAAGATTCAGGTTAACCACTCCCTTGTTTTGCGATATCACGTGTTGGAAAAAAAGAATTCAGGATTTGCTTTGCTTGGAAAGCACTCAACCAAACCCACATTCATTTCCCTTTTGTAGTATCTGAGGGTTGAGATAGAGAATGTACTTGATCTGAAGTTCAAGTGCTGACCAAGAGTTTCCATGCAGAGTGGGAAAATGAACACACTTGATTGACTTACGCTTTCCAGAAAGATAGCAAGCGTGCCTACACTTGGACTTTGGACAGACACTCAGAAATATTCTGGCAAGTTCTGGGCTCAGAGTCCTCCCTAATAACAAAGGATGGCAATCACCTTTTGGGAAAGAAGTTGCTGCTAGGATCTCAGAATGCCAGAACTGACTTTATTCTCTGCATCTCTAATGGAGTGCGTCCCAGGTGCCAAGTCCTGGGTGCAGGTGGGAGAGTCTGAAAGGCTGTTTGTGAATGGTGCCATGATAACTGACTGACACATCCGGTTCATCCATAGGTGCTGGAGCCACAGCAATGAGGAATCCCTCAGCCCCTGTACCCTGGCCTGGCTTTACCTGCACTTGAGGCTTATCTGGAGCGCCATCCTGCACTCTGCCCTAGTAGGTATCTCCCCCAGCCCTGTCCTCCTGGTCCCTACCCTGTCAGTCATCTAACACGTGCTCTGGATGTTTGCAGATCTACTTTTTGGGAACCTTCCTGCTGTCTGTGTTGATCGCCTGGATTGTGCACCGTTTCCAATCCATCTCAGGTAAAGTCTTACAAAAAGCCAAGGTAGGATAGAAAGGGGAATTCTCTGGGGGGGGGGGGGGGGTCTCCTCTAGGGTTTATTAGGGTATATATAATCCCTGTCAGGAAGCCACTGAACAACTTTGTCGAAGTAAGGTTGTGTGTGTGCGTGCGTGCGTGCGTGTGTGTGTGTGTGTGTGTGTGTGTGTGTTTAAAGAGCTTAAGAAATTAAAGTGTGGCTCAGGTGGTAGAGCACTAGCCTTGAGTGAAATGTAAGAGACAATACTCAGGCCCTGAGTTCAAGCCCCAGAACCAGTGAATTGAATTAGTCTAGAATATTTTCTCCCATTAAAAAGATATCATATACCAAAATTCTCCCCCTGTGCTTGAGAATCCACTTCCAAAGCCTGCGTGAAGCCTTTTGTTTATTCCAATCAAGCATCCAATGCAAGAAAGGATGGACCACCATTGACTGAACAAACATGCCAAGCCGCAGGGACTCGGAAGGAGGGTCCAAGTAGCATTCTCCCCTTTGTTTTTTTCACTACTTAGTACTGTTCTTCTGAGCTGTAGTAAGGGATCTTTAAGGACATGCTTCCTCCATCCCTTCCATTCAGGCTAAGCCCAAACTTGACTTCATTAGCCGTGTCACTTAGGGTACACTCCTCAACCTACTTAATCTCCCAGTTTCTCATGGAAGTTTTTTGTTGTTGTTGTTGTTTTGGAGGTTGTTGTTTTGGGTTTTTTTCCCCAGTCCTGGGGCTTGAACTCAAGGCCTTGGCACTGTCCCTTGAGCTTCTTTTGCTCAAGACTAGCACTCTACCACTTGAGCCACAGTGCCACTTCAGCTTTTTTTTTTCTATTTATGTGGTACTGAGGAATTGAACCCAGGACTTCATGCATGCTAAGCAAGCACTCTACCACTAAGCCACATGGAAGTTCTAAGAGTAGCCGTTTCCCAAGGATAGAAGATATAAAAGTTGCATTTAAAAGTAAATGTAAGCTGGATATTGGTGGCTCATGCCTGTAATCCTAGATACTCAGGATACTGAGATCTATGGATCATGGTCAAAGCTAGCCCAGGCAGGGAAGTCTTTGAGACTCTTATTTCAAAAAAAAAAAAATTGCATTTAAGATACTTATCTAAGCAGAGCTCTGGTGGCTCATGTCTGTAACCCTAGGTATTCAGGAGGCTGAGATCTGAGGATCATGGTTCAAAGCCAGCCCAGGCAGGAGTCCATGAGACTCTTAGCTCCAGAAGTGATGCTGTGGTTCAAGTGGTACAACACTTGCCTTACGTTGAAGAGCGCCCAGGCCCAGAGTTCAAGCCCCATGACCAACAACAAAAAAGTCACTTATCTAGGGGTTGGAAGCATGGCTCAATTGGTGGATCACTAGCCAATGAATAAAAGCATCAGGTACTGAGTTCAAGTTCCAGTCTTGGGCCAAAAAAAAAAGATGCTTATCTAAATGGCAACTGGGGTTAAATGGTAGCTACTATACTTCTCTAGCATATAATGCCCTCTGGATAAAGCTTAGCCATTACTGCTTGTATTCCCTCTAACTCAGCTTACCTGAGTTAGAGGAAAGGCTAAGGCTTAAGCCTGGCATTCACGAGAACTCATACTACAAATGTCAGCCCTATAAATGTCTCTTGGTGGAAAAATTGCAGTTTCCCACCATCATGGTGGTGACTGTAGGGTATATTAAATAGGTTTAATTAGGTAACCGATGAAGAGAACATCTCATGGTATTCCAGGCAGGAAAAGAAGCTTATTTACCAAGCTGCTGCCCCAACCATGACCTACCCCCAGGCCAGGATTTATCTAGACCTGGGAAAGGAAGAGGTGTGGCCAGGTAGAGGAAAGGTGTGGCCACACTGGATCGGATGTGACCTCAGAGCCTGGGTCTCTCCTATGGTCAGATGAGAGGCCTGTGAACAGGGGTGGCCCCAAGATGTGACCTAGCCGGAAGGGGAGGTGACTGCCTCCAGGTGTGCCAGTTACCTAGGTAACGCAGATACTGGGCAGAAACTTTGCCAAGATGTTGGGAGGCATCTGCACAGGGCCTGCAGAGGCCCAGGGCAGACCAAAGGCCGTATAAACTCATGAAGACTAACAGAGACGTACAAAAAGATAAATCAGGAGTACAGTGATATTTGTGTATTGTTGTGGCCATTATTTGTGTAGTCGACAAGGAAAAGGAAAGGAATGCTGCTGCCACACCTCTTCTTGAGGAGGAAGAAATTTGCAAGGTGACCCAGAGTCCTTTCCCGTGATTTCGCTCATTCAAAGCCCTCCCACACGTGAGGGCTCATCCTCTGTCAGTTAATAAACCTGCCTCATGCAGATTCTGTCCCATCGCTAAATTTGTTGCCAGGTCGGGCACATTTATTTTGCATCTTGTCAGTGTTTTCCATTTCAAATTATCTTTGTCATTTTTTTCACTCTGTAGAAATATTGTTATGATTATTACAAATGCAGTTCCGTTAGAGGAGCTGAAAATTGCCTTGATGATTTTATACCAGCTGGTGGCCATGAAAATTCATGGGCGGTGGAAGAGCTTTTTCAGAAGTCGGCTTTTTCCCTTGTCTTCTCTTCTCCATTATCAGTCTGTCTGCATTCTCCTCTCCCTGTCCTTCCTGTCTGTTGAGATATCCTTCCTTTTCTGTGGCTCCTGCGTTCATTGGGTCACACATTCTCCTTGTTCCTTCAGCCTTTGTCCAGCATACCCCCCTACCCACTGGACCAATTCAGAGAATGTGTGTGTGTGTGTGTGTGTGTGTGTGTGTGTGTGTGTGTGTGTTGGTATTGGTCTTGGTCTTGAACTCAGGGCCTGAGGAAGTCCCTTAGCTTTTTCTGCTCATAGACATAACTCTACCACTTGAGCCACAGCTCCACTTCATCTTTGTAGTAGTTCATTGGAGATGAGTCTCAAGGACTTGCCTGGCTGGCTTTGAACAGTGATCCTCAGATCTCAGCTTCCTTAGTAGCTTGGATTATAGTTGCTAGGTGCTACCGGCACCCGGCTTGCCCTAGCCTTTGCCTAACTCACTTAGAAATCAGTGGTAGGCGTCTATGATTCTGGCTCCACCGTTAACTGTGGTGACTTTAAAAATCAGAGGATCCTACCTGTGCCTCAGTTTCCTCTTCTATAACAGCAGAAATGAGGAAATCAGTGATTTAATCTTCCTTCCTTCTTTCTTTCCTTCCTTCTTCCCCTCTCTCTCTCTCTCTTTCTTTCTCTCTCTCGTTTTTTTTTGTTTTATTTTTTATACCAGTCCTGGGGCTTGTACTCAGGGCCTGGGCACTGTCCCTGAACTTCTTTTGCTCAAGGCTAGCACTCTACCACTCGAGCTATAGCACTACTTCCAGCTTTTTCTGTGTATGTGGTACTGAGGAATTGAACCCAGGGCTTCATGCATGCTAGGCAAGCACTCTACCACTAAGCCACATTCCCAGCCCTAACCTTTGTCTCTAAAAGCTTGGTGTAAGCTCTGTTTTGGTGGGCAGATCTTTGTAATTGGCCATCTGCAGTTCGCTAGTGCTCAACTAAAGACTCCAGAATTCGACCTCTCAATGTGGTTTCTCTATATTCTCATGGCTGGTTTTCTATCTGATTTAAGGTGTAATTTTACTGCACAAGAGTAGCACATTGTCTTCTCATGAAATGACACCATGCGTAGTGCTGAGATCTTCACCTGTGGTACTCCCAAGGAGTTAGGTTTTATGGAGCATTTTACCTGCAATTAGAGGGTGCTGCCACCAGGAGCTGCTGCCCTTAAATTTCTTCATTTAGTTCTAACAATTACCAGTGCCTATAGCAAGACTTTTCTTTTTTCTTTTTGCCTGTCATGGGGCTTGAACTCAAGGCCTGTCTCTGAGCTGCTTTGGCTCAAGGCTAACATCTACCACTTGAGCCACAACACCACTTCAGGCTTTTTTCTGTATATGTGGTACTGAGGAATCGAACCCAGGGCTTCATACCAGCTAGGTACTTCTACCACTAAGCCACTTTCCTAGCCCAAGCATACTTTTTTTTTTTCTATTTTGGGAGACTCTTTCTACAATGTAAGATTCTTTTTCAAAGCATTTAAACTTTTGACAACTAATTTATCAAAAGTACCAAGATAGTGCATGACTGTGGCACATCTTGTGTTTCCTTTAAGGGCCTTATTTTTCACACTGAGCTTGTAGTCCACAGGCAGCTTCGTCTTTCATGAGCTTAATGCTTCCCAGGATAGCAGAAAAGTCCCTGGGCCTCTTGTAGTCCTGGAGTCACTTCGCTGTCACTAGTCAGAGAGCAAAACACACATCTTCCCTGGCCTAGACTGTCCCTCTGGGGTCCATCAGATACGTAACTTCTGGGTCACCTGGCAGCTCTACCCTCTTTGAAGAAGATAAACACCATTTGCCTTCCTCTCCCATCAACTCTTCCCGTTTCAGAAAGCTGCAAGGACAACCCGCCGACAGGCTCGGCCCCTCTCCAGATTCCAGAAAGCTCTTTCCCTGCCTCACTGCATCTCAACAGTACTCTCTCCCACCCACCCCACTGAGGACACCAGACATAATTACCTTAATGGAGCAGGCTTTTGAGAAACAAAATGAAAAAAGAATCCAGAGTAAAATACATTTAGAGTTCTGTCCACTCTGCCCACAACTCCCCTGGAAACAACAGCCAAAAACAAAACAACAGCAAAAAAAAAAAACCCTGGAGCCTGACTGGCTGCCCAAGGGAGGTCAAGGAAGAGAGGCGATTTAGATAGAAATGCCATTTCAAAGAAAGAATCCTGTCTTCCTGTAGACTGAGCATTGCTCATTTGAAAGTACAAAATCTGAAGTGCTCCAGACTCTGAGACTACGGTGAGCACCATCACGACTCCACCCGTGGAAAAGCCCACACCTGGTCTGACCTTGTGTTGTGTGGTTACAGTCAAACTACAGGTGAACTCCATTTATTTGTTGTATAAAACTTGCCTTTCATGCTGTCCGTGTAAAGGGTCCACATGGAACCCAGGTGAAT